CTCTGAATTCTATTCCCAGCCTTTTGTTCTTTACGTCCCAAAGAGCACATTGCCTCTCTTAAAGAAATACAGTTACAAAGGTATTTATTCATTCACTTAGATCTTCACTTATATGTTAAGTGTCTGCCACATATAAAAGGCTCAGCTTAAGTTCAAGAAAATGAACTGGCTTCTTCAAAGAAATTCCAGAGCCAAATTGGTATAGTCAAGTGAATATTGTATTTGGAGATCTGTGCTTTAGTTCTGATTCTGGCTGGCATTCACAGCAATCTTTCTTTGCACCAAGTCAGTTGATCCCATTTTCTTTCAGTTTTCATCTCAAAATTTATTGGACCACATAATTTGGCTTTTAAAAATATTTCTGCAATAGCTATCATTTATTAAAAGTTAATCTTGTCCCAGAAAATATACAAATAATTCTCATACCCCTGATGGTTGATTTTGACCATTAGCTTGATGGAATTTAGAAATACTATGGAAAACAATCTCTGGGAATACATGTGATGGGTTTTTTAGATTACTTTAACTAACTAAGGGCAGCACCATTCCATGGGATACAGTCCCTATCTGAATGAACAGGAGAAAGGGTGCTGAATAGCAGTGTTCTTCTCTCTCTGCTTCCTCACCACAGACACAATGTGACCAGCTGCCTCTCATTTCTGCAGCCATGCTCTCCTTGCCAGGATGGACCACACCCATAAACTGTGAGCCCAAGTGAAGGCTTACTTCCCTAATCTTGCCTCTTCCATCAGGTATTGTGTCATAGCAATTGGAAAAAGATAATCCAATGGGGATCGCTATTTTTGCCATTATGTTGATAGAAAAACTAAAGATCTCTATGGTAATATCCCCCGAGTATGTAAGACAGCCATAAAAAATGAAGAATTGAATCTAGGCTAATCCCAAAGTCATCATGCTCCCATATTTTAAAAAACTCAGAATTTACTTTAAAAAATATTAAGCTGTCTAATTGAGGGTTAGACAGGGTTGGCTTTAACTGACTTTACCACAGCCTCCCTTGTGCTAAAATTATAGGTACATGTACCATGCCTGAAAAACTTACCTGATCTTATGGTACCCTTTATTTCTTCACCCTCCATCTACATGAACTTTAATAGTTACACTCTCTTCATTGCTTCTTCTTAATACTTAATAATCATGTGAAATATTGTGGCGATCCTAGAAAACTTGTGCTTCTCTTTCTGGCTTTGACCAGAGACACAAATTGCTTATTTCCAACTTGCTAATCTTCTTCCCTCTCTCACTACACTGGTGGCTTGCCTTTCCAGAGAATTCTAAACTACCACTTTATTTAATACCAACACAAATGTTTGCAAGCTTTACCTTGGAGGAGAAAAATGAGTGAGAATCTAGTCTCTCAGAGATCCAGTTTACTTTTATAGAGCAGGAATGGATCCATATAACACATTTTTGCCTCCAAAAAAACCCTGCCAGACTTAGTATAGTCTGGTTCATTAGAAACATATAATAAAATATTCTTCACAACTCAGTTCTTCAAGTTCACTTTGATCAATACTTCATTACCTACGTTAGAGCTGCCAAAGGGGGGCAAACTTGTCAGCCCATTTGTCCCATATTTGCATGAATATTATGCTGTGAATGTTACGCTCCTTTGAACTTCAAAAGAACTTCCTGGCCTCATTGACTACAACTTTAACAACAGAGCATAATAGAGTTATAGAAAGATCTTTTCCTGGCTAAAGACCTCAAACTTTGCTGATGCTGGACAGTAGCAAACTTTTACATAAGCAACAAATGGCTCATTCATCCATTGCAGTGCACTATCAGTAATTCCTGGTGTCCTTAGCCTGTCTTCCTGCTTGTGAAAGTGACTATAACTATGGCTAATTAGCTAGCAGCAAGGGGCAACACAGGCTTTCACTACTTCTTTCTGTTTCCCCAGCAATTGAGAGATCTTTCACCATAAGGGCACCTCACATGCCTCCTATCCTGGCGGTTCAAGATAGGAGAGCAAACATGCTCCTGGACTTAGAGTCTATTCTAACCAGAACCTGAGAAGTGGAAAACTGAGGCTTCCTCAAGTAAAATGGGGACAGACAGTATGAACAGATGAAAAGTTTTAACACTTCTATACTTGTACATTTCCTTGCTCTATAAAGTTTAAAAAATAGCACTCCTTTTCATGTATTCCTATGTCTCCCTTTCTTCTGTACTAGACAATAAAACACAAAATAAATCTCTTTACTTTAGAGAACATTTTCCCTTACAAAATAGAAATTTCCACTTGTAGAAATTCTGGAATAGACAATATAAAAAGATCATAAACAGTTCTTACAAATATACCACCCAGAGGCTTAAAAAGTAATTCTCTATTGCATTCCATATATGCATCTAAATTTCACATGGAACAGAGACCTATGAATAAACTCCAGAAGAAAATACAATAGTATATGGTGAGAAAAACCTCCCAGGAAATTCAGTAGCGACAGAGGAAAAGAATATCGATCTGACCACAAATAATTTTAAAATAAATAAACAAATACAACCTGCAAAAGCAATGTTTCCAACAACAAAAAGAAATATTTTATACATAAATAATACAAGCTCAAAAGAAAAACAGGTAATTAAGAAGTATAACTAAACCAAAATGTTATTGAAAATATCACATAAGAATAGGGAAATATTAAGGCAAAAATTAAATATAATTTCTACAATTAAGACGATCCTCCAATATAAAGATCATAACACTTTTTAAAGGAATTATAAATGGGTATTTACACATAGGTAGCAGCAACTTAATGAAGAGCAATTTGACAGCAGTTAACAAGATGAAAACTGAAAATACCGCTTGACTAAAAATTCTTCACAAATACATCCATTAACATCTAAAGAGTTTGACTAATGCCCTTAATTCGTAATGTCAAAAACTAGAAGCAGCATATATAGCTACAAATAGAGGCTGGTTAGTTAAACAATGTGACATACATGCAGTTGCAAATGATGTAGACATTAGAAAAACAAGACATTGTTGCTAAGAAATGTTTTGATATGACCTTGAAGGTTACCATGTATATATTTATCTTTCTGAAATATAGTTACAGAAAAAAATTTATAAGGCCTCCAATTTTATTAAAAAAATGAATTTTTAACAGGACTTGGATCACATATGGAACTTTTTAAATTGAACTGTTACTTCCACTGCTTCTGCTTCTAACTTGTCATTGTTAGGGCATCAATATAAATATCTGCATGAACACTTGCATGTGTGAAGGCAATATAAATGAAGTATATGCTATGAGATTTCCTCTTTAGTAAAGATAATATTTTGAATATCTTTGATTTGGATGTGGCCAGATGAAAGGTCAGTAAGAATGACCACAGTGGTGGCCTCACCATCTAGCTATAATCTGAAATATTAGATCAAAACTAGTGCCTTTGGCCATCTGTTACATAATTACCTTGACACCAACCAAATATTAAAATGTCTTGGGAAATAATAGGTACAAGGAAACATTAGAGAGTATAGTTTAGAGCTCATAAATCATTGTTCTTTGCTTTGTCAACAAAGCTCTAAGTTTTACGGATAATATTCCTCAATGCTTTGTAAGCATGGACGATCTCCAAGAAGAGATGGTCTATTGAGAGTTATAATATCCCCCATGCGGCCATCAGTAACACAGGCTATAAGGGAAACATCTTTCTAAGAGACCAGGAATTTTTAATCCCCACTGGTTGTGAACTGATTTAAGAAGGAGCAGATAACATTTCTGTCACGTGCACTTAAATAAGAAGATGGAAGGGAAAGTGAGTAATGAGAAAGACAAGGGGAGAGGCTGATTCAAGTTTCTTTTCAGAGCCTGTTCCCCAGTTGTCTTCCATTTATGCCTCAGTCCTGCTAGATATCATTACAGATCACTGGCGCTGAAGTTCCTTATCCAATGCACTCTTTCTCCCAGGAAGAAGACCACTTGCAGTGAAAATCATTGTGGGACAAATACTCTTAGTGACTGGATAGGCTTGGTTCTACCCTCCGCGCCAATAAGTCTCCTGCCTCCCATATTTAATTCTATGGATAAAAGAGACAAATGTTTGTGATAGGATTCAGATGCTGCCACAGCTCCTACCAAGAACATTTTACAGTTCTTTCTGATGAATAAGTTCAGTGGAGCACAGAATATGTCCCCGTTGGACCAATTCCATTTCGTGCTTCTTTTTTTTCAATGTAGCTCTAAAAAGGAATCAAAGCTCAGTTGTCTCCTCAAATTTAGAGCAAGGGTTCACCTCAGAAGTGGCTGCAAGTGGCCAAAAGAAGTTGAGGCCTACACTGTTCAAATGCAGCAGAGAGCTTATAATAATAACGGATGCATCAGTGGCAGCGAAGGAGGGGGGTGGTAATTACACTTCACACACATAGTCCTTTGCCACCCTGTTTTCTCTAATATGTTAGCCCATATGGATCACTGAATTTCTAGAACTACTCCCTGGGTTTGTGTGGACATTCCTTTCAATAAATGACATCTAATTTCCTAACAGTTCTTGGAAGCTAAATTTCATCACTGGGTCTGAATCCAGTTCCTTCGTTGACTTTCAATATTAGGGATATGCAAGGGCTGCCTTTCTTTGTCTTTTTGTTTTGTTTTTGTTTTACTTTTTTTCATAAACTAAAACCTTCACTGCAGAGGCTGAAAATGGGAAAAAATCCAGCTCATCTGTCAGATATTTCTAGAGTTACGTAAAATGGAATGATATTTGTACAGTTGAGAACAGGAAAGTGAAAATGTTTCATGTGTTCTTTGAGATGAAAACTATATGATAACCAGAAAAACAGCCTCAAGTTTAGTTGGCCTGAATCTAAGCTTTCATTCTTTCATCAATTTATGTATAAATCAATAACAGTTACATTCTTCTCATAGAATAAGGCCATGGCCACATTTGAGCTAATCATAATCCCTACAGATTATAACCACAGGTTCAATGATACGATGAGTTTGAGATTTTTTTAAATGAAAGACACTTACGTTTTACTTGCTCTGTTTTGCTTCCTTCTAGGAGAAAAAAGAACAAAACCAAGGAGACTATATATTTCATGCCTCCCATTTTCCACTTTCTTCTTCTTTGACCTACTGCAAAATGTAATTCAGAGACTCCGAGGAGTGATGGAATAAACCTGTTGAGAAGAAAGCAGAAAGAAGTAATAAAAACAGATGCCTTGGAACTGATGAACATGAGTAATACTTAGGTTTCTAACTTGATAGATAAAACACTGAAGAATTTACCAGAGTGCAGACATTGTTTGTAGAAGACAAAGGACTTGCCTCTTTTGTCTTGTAAAGATTATGAGAGGAAATTCACATGAGTTGAGTACATATTCCTGTCCAACACTGAGGCTAAATCCTTACAAGCAAGTCATAGGAAAATAAAAAGTAAAAGTGAATTTTTTCTAAAGAAATTAAAATTGAATTCTCAGGATATTTTATTGTTGGTGGGTGCGAGTAGAAAATCAGGAAATTGGAGTTTATTTTAAAAAGGCTATTTCGGCAAATAGTGTACAAGGAGAGAGCATCCGGTTGCAATGATGTCTGAAATGCAAGCTTCAGACTAATGTTATCATTAATACTTTAAGGGTCCTTCCTCGATCAGTGTTTTCCTTGTATCTTCTATGAGATCTAAAAGAATATTCACTATAAGTGCTGATGTTGGAAAAGATAGATGTAATCTGATAATGGATGCAATTCAGCATCTGAGAAGTTTCACAGCTTACAACAGTTCAGACATATTCCTTCCCATGAAGTCCATTGGGAAAGGAAATGTAAAATGGGTAATTTTAAAAGAAAACAAGCAAATTTCAACAGTGATTCATTCAATTTGTCCCACCACGCAAGAGGCTGTTAAAGCAACCACAATTCTTTAAAAATAGGCATTGGTGGACAGGATTGAAATCTTAAGCTTTTGAAGCCTTAAAACACAGAAAATTTGCTTGTATCCTGTCATGACTATTTTCCATGGACTTTAGAGTATATAAAATTCTTCCAATGGGAGATTGGAAAATATTTAAATATTCTAGAAGCATTGCATTCAATCAGGGGTTAATCCTGAATAGGAACTTAAATATGCTGGTGCTTTCAGAGAATCTAATATAAATACTGAAAATAAACCACGTATTTGAAGGAAAGAAGTGCAAGATGCTCACTTTGGAGAACTGAATCTCTTTAGGCTCTAAAGTGGACGTCACCGTTTTTCTTTAAATGCTTTGAAAGTGCCCTGATCATTAAAAAAAAAACCTTGTTTCAGCCGAGCCTCGAGGTGCATGCTTGCAATCCCAGCAGGCAGATGCATGAGGATCACTCCAAGTTCAAGGCAGTAGGGCTACACTAGGACAGTTTATAAAAAAAAGTTGCAGATTATGAATCAATGCACACCTGTGAACAAACTGATACTACAGAATTATTTGTGCTAGCAGGTTGATTTGTACCACCCATCTGTTTTCTTTCTCAGATCTCCTAGTACATTATGAAAGGTTCAGATTCTCCTAGGGTGCATCCCTAGCCTTGCGGAAGCCTCAAATCTGATGTTTTTCATCTGTTCTGTGGACCTCCAATCCACTTTCAGTCATTCAAAATATCACTTTATGTTGAGAGCCACTGGATCCCTTTGAAACAAAGCATTTTCATTAACATTTTAACACAGCCACCCACCTCAACCGAGTTCTTTCTGAGCCTACTTTAATAAGCTTTTTCCTCTGAGCCTCCAAAAGACAATGATTTTTAACTGTTGAAATCTAATTTATCACAATCATATATGGCTCTCAGGGGGTACTTCTGAAAGCATGGCTTTTGAGTCTCCCCATGCAAGAATCAACGGGGCTGTTTTTCTTGTACAATGGTTGGGCGATTTTGTGAACAGTAGCATTGCTTCATAACTCAAACTGGTAAGAAAATGGCCCTTAGAATTTTTGCTTTTCTTGGGTCCCAACTAATGTTATGAGCAAACAGGAAAGTTGGGGACTAGAGAGCAATTAATCTCTTTTGGCATTCCTGTCATCTATGTGGCCTCCCAGGAGGTGATGGAGCACATCAGAAAATGAATCGTTTTATAAATATTCACTTGTGATTTACAAGATCCTGAAAGCCTTGCCTTTGTATTTTGTGGAGAAATATGAACTGAGACGGGTTCCCTTCCCAAGGCTCTTCATTATTCCATTCCTCTTTATTCCTTTACCTTTCAATTTGGGGGCCGAGGTTGTAGAAGACATTTGCTGGGACTACAGCAAGAAACACAAGCATCACTCAAGAATCATCCGATTTTTATTCCTGCAAAGAGCCAAAGTGTCCCTAATTTTTCAAATTATACTTTGACCCAGTTAACTGGAGTTATTTCTGCATTAACTCTCTGCTTCACACAGACTGCTGTGCTATTGAACTTGCACTGGCTCTTTGACAGGTTACTTAGAAATGTAACCACTGCCATGTTAGGGTGGGGGCGGAGGATCCAGGACCCAAGAAGAAAGGAACAAAGAAAACAAAACCCTGCAAATAACCCTGGGGAGATGATGGGGTGGGAAAGTGTGTGGGCTTTCTAAGAGATGGAGAAATTTTCAGATACCCGAGGAAAGGCATCTATTCAGGTGCCTTTATGAAACTAATGTTCCCATTGCTCTTTTTCATCAAGCAAAGAGACAAATTGCTTCTTGCTCAGCTGTAACTGGACCCACTCTCAAAACAGGTCTCCTGAGCAGACCGGACCTAGAGATATAGCTAAGCTAAGGAAATCCAAAGATATATAGTTGTCAGGCAGCCCTTCCCACCTGACAGTGCCTCTTTAATACTCAGGGGGAAGCTTGACTGATCTTGTAATTTCAGTCAAAATCATCTGTGGGATATCCCCTTGGGTACCAACATTCTATCTGATAAGCAATAAGAAAAGACACTGGAGACTCTGGTCCTTGTCCATCAACTGAAAACCCCCTCGCCACCCAACAACAAAAGCTCAGTTAACTCCGGGGTTGGGAGGTACCAAAGAAGGAGAGTTTATGCTCAAGTTATCTCTTCTCAGAATCAGAGCCTTCATCACTGCTTATGACTAAGAACACCTCCTTTGGGCTTATAAAACACTTTCTGGTCTACCACTGCATTTTCTTTCATACAAGTATACCTTCAAACTTAGGGGCATGCAGTAGAGAAAGAAGGAAATCAGGGTTGAATCAGTGGCAGGGCTGGAAGGCACGTTTCCAGGCCCTGAAACCTAGCAATCCTACTTGGTTTCCTGAGCCTAGTGTCCCAAACTGGGATCCCAGCGGTCTGGGCCTGAAAAAAAAAAAGTGAGAGGGGGGATGGCCAGAAGAGACAGGGGCCTCCCCTCCACCCACCCTGTTTAATTAACATATTGTGAACCAGTCAACAGCACTTCACTAAGGAGCAAAAGGGGCTCTTTCCTGAACACATGTAGTCATAAAGCAAAGCACAAAACCTGTAGGTAGCTTGGCAGGGAGTGCCTGTACTGCCTTTGAAAGTCTAAATACCAGAGCAAGCAGAAATGCAGGCCAAACTGGGAGCGGCAAGTTGAGGGTTCAAATCCTCAGTTCCCACTTTGTTTCATGGGGTATCTAGGGTTCTACCTTTATTCTATCAGCAGGACCACAGAACTGGTTGGGATGGCCCACAGTTCAATGTGCCCGGTGGGAACGTCTAGGGGCAGTACCAGCAAACAGAATGCACCCTACCTGTGAAAAGATTGGAAAGCGAGGTCGGGGTCTGGGGGGGGGGGGGAAGGCAGCAGGGCACTGCTTACTGACCTGGGCACTGGCCTCCTCCTTCTGCCACGCTTGCACACGCTCTGAGTTCCCTGGGGCGCTCCTCCGAGGTCTGGGGCTTGCAGGTTGTGGCGAGAGCTTGTGTGCGCGCGAGGGGGGAGGGGGGACTCAAAAGTGGGTGGGAGGAAAAACATCACCGCCCTCGCACCACGAGGGAGCAGAGGCTCACTAGGCTCCAGGGGGGCAGAGCCAAGGCGCGGGCACGGCGGCCCGGGGCCACCTGCCCACTTGCTTGTCCGCTCCCCACTTGGCCTGGCAGCCTGGCGCTGGCGGGAAGTCCTCCAGAGAGCTGCCCAGCCGCTGTTAAGTACTCACTCCTTCTTGGTCCCAGCACCGGGCTTTATTCCTACACCCCAGCCCTGAAAGTTACAAAACGGGGAGAAAGTGTGAGGCTCAGCCGGCACTTTCTCATCACGTAGCGCCCCCACCACACACCCCTCCTTTGGCTAGTGTAGCGTTGGGGTCTTAAAGGGACCGCACATCTTCTGCAGCCCATCCTCCTCCTCTGCATTGGATGCTCTGAGGAGCTCCCCATCTATAGTGAATATCCTCAAGACCTAACTCTGACTATCCATGGCTTCCCTGCCTGGAAGCCCTGCACCTTTTCTCATGCAGGGCAAGGACCTTTCCCTGGGCACCTGGTCTGTTCTGGAGCCTGTGGTCTGTGTGCAAGTTGAACCGACCTCACAAATTATGCCCTAAGACATGTCTGGCCATTTCTCCTATCTTCACTGTGTCAAGTGACAAAGACTTGGTGTTTTATGGGGGTGATGAGAATGAGGGGTAAGAGTGGGGCATGAACTCAGAAATCTCACATCAGTCACAAAGAGATCAATCTCCCAATCCCCGGCCGGTGGCGGAGGCGGGGGTGGGGGTGGGGGGGGCGACTACTGTTAAATATTTTTAAAGAAAAAAAAACTTGAAGAGGCTCATCACCACCACTGTTTCAACAGTACTGCAGATTTTATGTTGAACTAAGGGCCTGACTTTCAAAAATCACAATAGCATGCTGAGTAATGTTTCTTGGAGCTCCTAGACACACTACTCCTGATGTGTGTTTATGTGAAGAAATGCAGTTTAGAGACTCATCAGAATCCTCGAAAACTCACGGAAGCACATTCTTGACTTTAAGTGCCCAAATTTAGGAGAGCTGAAGAGTGTTTTGTACATGGATTGGATAATACTGGTATTCTACACATCTGTGCTTCACTTTATGGCACTACATCAATATTAGTATTTAAAACACTCACACTTTCCTTACAATCTAAAGTATCAGAGGCCCCAATTATGAGGTACTATGGACCTCCTGTGCCATTCAGATCAACTTCTTCACTCACAGAAATGGAAACTGATACTAGCAGTGGATGTAACCAAGGTTGCACAGCTAGTAAGTGACATATTTGAGATTCTAATTCATCTATCCTGACTCGTAACTCACTGCATCTATTATCTCCAGTCTACAGATGGAAATAAAATTTAAGTTCAATGAAACCGTGGTTAGCTAAAAGCAAGTCAAAAGCAAGCAAGCAAGCAAGCAATAAACAAACAAAAACCCAAGGAACAAAAGAAAATTGAAACAAGAATATTTGTCCTTGGAAGGATCCCTCTTTTTCTACCTGCTTAAGTATCAATATCATTTAATCAGGCCTGAAATTCCTGTGGATGTTTATTTCGTTGTTAACAAAAGAGAGACACACTTTCTGAGATGTTGCCTTGGGGGCTTATAATGTCTAGCTCCATTCTGTAGCCATACGTCTATAGCCATACATTGCCACATGTGTTCAATTTGACTGTAGTAAATTAGTTTGAACTTGGAGATTTGTTGCCTTATAACTGTTTCTGTGCTGTTTAATGTGCTGATATCACTAAGCAGAGTTCCTCAAGGACTAGAACTGGTTGCTCAATTTCCTTTGTGTGTGTGCTCCAACTCTCAAATCCTTTCCAACATGTTTACAGAAGTATTCAGGAAAATGGGTTTTAAGAAACAGGGACAGGCCGGGTGGTGGTGGCTCACACCTTTAATCCCAGCACTCGGGAGGCAGAGGCAGGTGGATCTCTGTGAGTTTGAGACCAAGCCTGGTCTACCGAGCAAGTTCCAGGACAGGCTCCAAAACAATACAGAGAAGCCCTGTCTCGAAAAGCCAAAAAAAAAAAAAAGAAAGAAAGAAAAAGAAAAAAGAAACAGGGACAATCATGGATCCTAGCATTTGAAATAAATAGACTCACTGGGATTTAAAACCTCATCTAGGGATGAAACCACTCACCCCTGCTGGTTGATATAGTATCTAGAGTACTGCATAATAAAATATCCCCACACTTAGTGGCTTAAAGCAAGTTATCATTGTCAATTGGTTCTGCTTAATTAGTTCTACTGAATCCACTCAAGATCGTTTTTACATTTTTTTGGCAACAGTAAATGTGGCTGCTGTAATTCCTTGAGCGATTCTTTATTAGTATAGATGTTGTGGTCCTTTGTTTAGCTCTGGTCTTACTTCTTGAATTGCATCTGTACTTTAGGTGTATCGAGATGTAGCCTTCCTACCAGTTCTTTTCCAACTTAAACTTATGACTCTTTACATGCCTTATATTCTTTATTTAGTAAATGGAAATGGGATCACAAATAATCTCATACTAATTTTAGATTTTTTGTTTTCTGTAAGATTGTTGATTCATTTTCAGCTATAAGAAATTACTCAGAAGGATCCAGCATCACCTACTTTTCCCTCATACTAAATATCTGGCATAACTATAATATATCATCACGACCAAATATTGGCATTTTGACATCCCCTCACCTTCCTCTGTTTTCATTATTTTAAATGTGATTATTTACCTGTTTGTACAGTTCTATGAAATTTTACATCTGTAGATTAATGTCACCACCACCACAGTCAAGATATAGATCACCACAATGATACTGTTATTATTTTTAGTCCTACCCATTGTTTTCACTCTGTCACCTATCTGACAAAATGAAAAAGTTCTTCATGCCAATATTTTTACCACTGAAGAATGTTACATGGGCTCATACAGTATGTAATCTTTTGAAAGTAGATTTTCCCCCAGGATTATCTACTTGAAGCAAATTCAAGTTATTCTACCTATCAATAGCCTGATCTTTTAATTGTCTCACAATATTCTATGATACAGTTATATCTCTGTGATCACTCATTGAAGGGCTAATTCTAAATTTGTGCTGTTAAAATGTGGCTACAAATATTTGTCTACATTTTGCATAAACAATATTACATTTCTCTAGAATAAATGACCAATAGTGAAATTCTTTTTATTGGGTGCTGCACATATAATTGTATAAGTAATTCCTAATTCTTTTTAGAGCAACTATACTTTTTAAAAAATATGCCCATTGCCAATGTGTGTGAGATACAGCTTATGTGCATTTCTGCCAGCATTTACTGCTGCTATTATTTTTATTTATTTATTCCAGTAAATGTACTTACATCTAATTTTGGTTTTAATTGTATTTCCCTAATATCTATTTTTTCTTTTTTTTTTAATATTTAACCCCTCTGAGCACGCCTTTAATCCCAGCACTTGGAAGACAGAGGAAAGTGGATCTCTGTGAGTTCAACACCAGCCTGGTCTACTTGGTACCTCAGTCTGACATCAACCTTATGCTCTTCTTGTTTTAATTTCCAAAGCACTAGAATCATAACTATGCATTATGAAAGCTGGCTCTAATGATATCTATCATCTTGTCATGTGCTTATTCGATGTTTGTATCTCTGTGAATATTTTCTCCTAGCAACTAGCTTTTCTTCCATTCTTTTTTCATGGGCTTTGACAGATAAAATAGATTTCTCATAGGATGCTTATGTGTGATGTGCATATGTATGTATGTATGTATGTTTGTGTGTGTGTTTTTATGTAGTTTGTCCACATGTGTGTGGGTGCATTTGATTGTATATGTGTATGGGGTCCTGATGGTGATGCCAGGAGTCTCCCTTAATCACTCTCTACCTTGTTCATTGAGAGTAGGTCTCTTGATTGAACCCAGAACTTATCTACACAACTAGTCTAACTGGCCAGCTTGCAGCTGGGACTCCTGTCTTCACCTTCCAAACATTGGATTTACAGGGAGCTGCCACAGCACTTATGAGGGTTCCACGGATCTGAACTCTGGTCCTTATGCTGGCTACTTGCTGTTTGTTTGACAAGTGCTCTATCCACTTAGCCAGCTAGCAACCCCCCAAATTTATTTTTATGGATCACGTTTTGTAGCAACGTGGCTAGTATATGTGTCCTGTTCTAGATCTCAGGAATTTTCTCCTATACTTTTGTTCTGAATTTTTTAACAGTTCCAAGTTTTATATTTAAGTTTATTATCTGCTTTTTATAGATTCAAACATGAAATGTGAAGTTTTGCCTATGGGTGCTTAAATGCTCTGCTATCTTTCTGTATAAAACTGCCTTTACACTTTGGTCAAACATTGATTATGGACACTGTGTGGGACTACTGATTTCTCTATGCACACCATTGGTCTATGCATCTATCCTTCTACAAGCCTTGGTTATTGTATGTAGTTTAGAGAGGTTAATACAAATAAAGTAGCTCCTCTCAGTCTATTTATCAATAATGTTTTATCTAATCAAGGTTCCATTTATTTCAATATAAACTTCAAAATAAAGTTATCTGTGTTTACAAAAATAGTTACTGGGACCTGCATAGGAATTCTATGAAACATAAAGATCAGTTTGGGAAGGACGGACAACTTTAATTCATTTTGTGTTCTGTGTTCTAAGCCATGAACACTGTATGCCTCTACATTTATTTAGTTTTTTACAATATATTTATTCTTTTAAATTTTATTTTACATTCCAGCCATAGTGCTCCCTCTCATTCCTCCTCCTACTGCCCCCCTCTGGTCTCCCCCCAGACCACCCCCAGTCCACTCCTCCTTGAAGACAAGGGCTGCCATGAGGAGGTAACTAAGTTTGACCAATAGGTTGGGACAGGGCCAAGCCCCTCTCACATGCATTAAGGCTGAGCATGGCATCCCAGCATAAGGAATGAACTCCAACAAGCTAGCTCATGTACCAGCTTTGTATTGTGGTCCTACTGCCAGGGGCCCCTCTGATAGTCCAAGCTTCACAACTGTCTCCTACATATGGAGGGCTTAGTTCAGTCCCCTGGAGTCTCCACAGTTGTAGATCTAAAGTTCATGAGTTTTCATGAGCTTGGTTCAGCTGTCTCTGTAGATTAGTCCATCATGATTTTGACCTCCCTTACTCATGTATTCCCTCCTCCCTCTCTTGGCCTGGATTCCTAGAGCTAGGTCTGGTTCTTGGTTGTGGATTTCTGCACCTGGTTCCATCAATTACTGAATGAAGACTCTATGATGATAGTTGCGGTATTCA